TCAGCATTTGTCAAAATATAAAAGTAACCCTTTATACTGTACTACATTTGATGATACCGATACGTACGTACGTACGTACGTACGATCATCTTTTCCATGAAAGATCAGTGAATACATAGCATTTTACAAATGATATTTTCAAATACCTTAAGATTGTTCGATTCATCAATTGTTATTCAAAAGGTTAGTCTATTGTGAAGTGAGGGAAAAAAATAATTTTTTACAATTTTATATAGATTATATATATGTTTATCAATTTATCTAGAGAACATTCATCAAAAATTTTAAAAAATTTTTTCAAAGGTATTTTATAATTCGTTAATAAAATTTAATTCATACTTATTGAAACTAAGTTTTAATTCGTTATATGATTAAGAGTTGATTTACTTCCAATACCAAAACAAATACCACAATCTTCTTATTATTTTAATGTCGAACGAATTGATGAATTTCAATGGATGCAAGATCTTAATAATCAGGTAGTTTTTTTATCAATATGGTGATGGTGTTATATATATTATCTAATTTATTGTTATTATAATAGGATGTTCGAGAATATATAGCTGCAGAAAATGAGTTTGTGGTTATTTATTTTATTTAATATCATTTTTTGATTATTATAACTGATTTAATGATTGATTTATCAAAAATCTCAATAGATTTACTAATAGAATGATGGTTAACACAAAGTTGTTGCAAAGACAATTATTTGTTGTAAGATCTTAATGATTTGTGTAAAATTAATTTTATCATTTCAAAAAATTGATGATGATATTTAAAAATTTTTAATTAATAGGAGATGAAAAATAAATTAATGACTCCAGGAATAATATCTCCATTAAAAGTTGTATCAAATGGCTATGAATATTACACAATGCCTTCAAATTATGGTAGCATTTATTATCGTCGTAAAAAAGAAAATTTGTCGGATGAAGTAATTTTCCACAATATCTTTTTGTAATTCCATAAAAAACCATTATTGAAAACAATACATTATTATAATATTAATGATCTTTTGTGGGAATTATGAATAGGAAGTTTTACTGGATTCTAAACAATTTGCAAGAGAAAATAAACAAATTAAATCTGTGCTATTATCAACTGATGAAAATTTACTTGGGTATTTGATTGAAAAAGAAGGTGATGAAGTTGGATCATTACATTTTAAAGATTTATCTAGACATAATAATTATCAGGTTGGAAAATTTTATCTATAAATTTATAATTGAGGAATTTATATTCATAATTATATTAACATCCAGGAGTTCTTTGGTAGAATGAGATGTTAAGCGGTGTTTTCAATTTTTTGTGGGGAACAAATATTCATGCTGTTTATTATACTGTTACTGATGAACAACTCAGACCCTACAAGGTAGTTCAATTTATAACACGCCTAAAGTCTTGCTTTGAAATTCATTTCCGTATTTATTTAATATTACAGTATTAGGTCTATGCACACAAAATGGGGACATCACAACGGGATGACATACTCATATATGAAGAAAAGGATCACACTTCTTTTGTTGATATTACTTGTACCAAAGATCAGGTTTGTTCTATTTCTGATTCAGTAATTCCTCGGTTATTTTTAATTCATCAATAAAATATATTAAAATATTCTTTTTTATAGTCCTTTATTATGATAAATTCAAACACCTTTTCATCATCTGAAGTTCGATTCTTTGACGCTTATCATGACATGTCTCAGGGTGCACCTGAATTAAAATTAATTGAACCAAGGACGTTTGGATTGGAATATTATGTTGATCATCGTGACGTTAGAAGTGCTACCTATCCTTTCTTTTTTTTAAATAATACATAATTTGCACACGATACTAACACTTTCGATTTTTCTTTTAAAGGGTTACTTTTATATTTTGACAAATGCTGATAATTCACATAATTTTAAACTTGTTCGTACGAGAATAGAAAATTACGGAAAAAAGTATTGGGAAACTATATTTACTGTTAAGGAGACTGAAAGAATTGAAGATGTTGATTTATTTCAAGTAATTTAGCGACTTGTTAAGGTTTTTTTTTCTTTGATTAGAATGATTAAGTATCATATTTCATAATAAGTCTATGTTCATAATAGGACTATGCGGTCATTTTTGCAAAAAGCGAAGGCTTGCCTGTTCTTATGTGCTATGAATTGAAATCTTCTGATGTTCATCAAATAACGCTTCCTACAAACTTGTGTGCCGTCTCTCCAGAAATAAATAACGTAAATATTGTATGCGCAATTATCAATAATATAAAAATATGGTTTAATTATATGCAATTCGTTTAGGATTATAATACAAACATTGTTCGGTTTACATGTAACTTGCCTTTGGCTCATGAAACAACTTATGAATATAACATGAAAGCTCGTAAACTATATTCTATAAGAGCTAAATCAATTAACGGTATGAAATGTTATTCTTCACTTATTTTTGATAATTTAAATAATTTAACAGGCGTCATCTAGGTTTTGATAGCAATTTATTTACAAGTTATCGAGTACATGCTAAGGCTTCAGATGGTGCTGAAATACCAATAACTATATTACATAAGAAATCTTTAATAATGAATCACAAGTAAATTTATTATATAAAATTTCTATTTGATATCTTAATATGTACATATCAATAAATTAAATTGATTTAAATAGTAACCCAGTTCTAGTAAGATCTTATGGTGCATATGGTATAACTACAGATCCAGAATTCCAACTTGAACATTTCCCATTGTTAGAGAGAGGTTGGGTTATTGCCCTTGCACATGTTCGGTGATTATTATGACAATGTTTTTATGATTATGTCTTATAAAGTCTTATAAATAATTGTATAATTTACGCACGACTTTATGTTTCTTTTTAAAATAGGGGCGGATCAGAGTTAGGTTATTCATGGTATGACCAAGGCCGTTTGATGAACAAAAAAAATTCATTTACCGACTTCATTTCGGTTGTGGAGTATTTAATCAGCTCAGGGTATTCTAACGTCTCAAAAATTTCTGCAATTGGTGTCAGTGCTGGTGGTTTATTAATAAGTTAGCAAGTTTTCTATATTTCTGATTATTTTTAATACATAATAATAATATTGACACTCTTTTATTTATTTTAATAAAAGGTGCGGCTTTTAACATGCGACCAGGTTTAGTTTATTCATTATTTTAATAACTCTATTTATCTTTTTCTTTTCTCCCAATGGTTAACTCAAATTTCTTTATTTGACAGATCTTTTTCGAGTATTAATTTTACGAGTTCCATTCCTGGATCCATTGACAAGTATGCTAGATCCAAATCTGCCACTTACAAAGATTGAATACAATGAATGGGGTAATCCTTTGGAAGACGAAAATGTATATAAATACATTTCTAATTATGCACCTTATGATAATATCTCTTATGATACCACTATTAGTGATAATTTTAAACATGGAACTTCAATATTAGTGACAGCAGGGATGCAAGACCAAAGAGTAAATTATTGGCAAGCATTGAAGTGGGTATCCAGAATGAGAATAAGACAAGCAAAGTATTTTTGGCCATATAAAAAAAATAATATTTTGATTTTGAAAATTGATACTGATAAGGGTCATTTTGGAAGTAGTTTTAATAATCAATCTGATAGAATTAAAGATTTAGCATTTGAACTTTCATTTCTGATTACTCAGATTCAATAGATTAATAATATAAAAGTCGTTGAATGACTTTTCGTTATTATACTGAGTCATTTAAATAAATACTAAATCTAGTAACCATTTTTTTCTAAAATTAATTGTATAAACTATTTTACTAAAGTAATTATTTTTGAATCTAGACCAAATATTATTACGCCATATATATAAAATTGGTCCGGGTTTAAAAATAATTACCCATGCATGTAGGTTTTGATTTTCGAATCGAGACTCTAAATTTAATTTCAGCATCAGCCGCGACATTTATTAGTTCCGTAGTTAAAAAATTTTTCTAAAATAGATTCAGTATTTAGAACTTATAAGTGTAAGGAGTTGCATTGTGTTAAAGTAACGTAATTACTAAGCTTGTAATTTCTGGCAGGTACTTAGATCTAACGAATTGAAATATAAAATAAGCGGTTTATTTTTATTTGTTTCTCGTACATAATTTTTTATTTTATCTGACCATAATTATTTTTTAAAGTAACACATTATTTCATCTATACGGAGGTTATGAACCAAATTTTTATTTACTATTATTTTTGTATTTAAGAACATAAAATGAGCACTAACGATAGCGTCGTCCTCAAGGCCAATGATAACGATTTTAGCTCTAGCTACTGGAAGATAATAATTGACCCCTTTCTCATGTATCAGTCCGTGGATAACAATATATTCATCCTATCAAATTTCTACCAAATCCTATAAAATTTTGACGTAAAATCTCTCATATTTTATTAAGAGGTAGTGATACTCATCAAGAGATAGTCTCATTAATTTGTTATGATCAAAGAATTTTTTATTAGTAGTCTTCCATTTGCCACTTTCAACGTATGCAATTTCGTCTCATTTTTGACGAAGAAAAGCTTGAATCATGAGATCCGATCTATCTCCTCTTGCATTACTATTCTGTTGCAATTTTCGGTCTTTACTGGCAACACTTTGACGTTCACCTCTCGTTACTTCAACATCATATTCGGGAGGTAAACGCCACATAACGACATCTATTAATCGAGATAAAATTTCTCCCTTGGTGCCTTCAGAACCTCCTCTAAGAACTTTATGAAATTCATTAGACTTCACCTCTTGTAAAAGAACATAAGTAACGTTCCTGGCTATACGTTTTCGGCCATAATTAGTGATGTGCAAATCGAAGATTTTTTGAATTTACTGCGCAGGCTGCGCTGCCTGCGCAGCCTGCACAGCCTGCTC